TGTTTCTCTGGTAACCAGACATGTGGCCAGCTCATGCTCTCATCTGCTCCCAGCACAGCTTTGGCTCTCCAGGAGTTCGGAGGTGAGTAGTTGGGAGCTACGCCAGGAGGGTAGGCAAAGGCTAGCTGTACCGCTTTGGTGCCTGGATTCAAATGGCTCAGCTCCAGACCTACAGAACCCACAGAGTCACCAGATCAGCACTGTTGTTGTTGTGAAGGGCTGTTGAGTCAGTTTCGCCTCACAGTGACCCTGTATAGGGTTTCAGAGGAGCGGTTGGTGAGTTTGAACCACCTACCTTTAAGTTCAAACCAACCTTTCAGGCCAGTGCATTATCCTGCATCGCCACATCGGGACTCCATTACATCAGTCTAGTAGAAACCCTCATAACCAGTCACCTCATTCTGTGTCCAGTTGTCCTGTGGTCCTAACTGAAACTGGCTCCATCAAGGACCTTCAGGAACTACTTCTGGATTGAGTGCCCTGAACACACATAACACCTAGGCCTATAGGAACTCCATCTAGGACCAGGAACTCCGCTGACACTTCCTTCCGCCACCCACCTTGTAAGTCCCTTGGATGGCAGGAGCACTCTAGTTTTCTCATCTTTGAGTCAAATAGCTGCATTAGTGTTTTTGTTTTTTTCCCCTTTAGTTTCCCATTTCATTATTTTTGTTTGTTAATTTTTTTTCGATTCCCTTTTCTTCTCTTTCTATTCCTTTGACTTTTATTATATCCATTTTTGTCTTTCCCTTTCTTCTGATTCTCATTTCCCCTCTTCTTTTTTTCTTCCTTTTGATCATTATTTACTATGCTCTACCCTCTCACTCTTTTCATTTTCCCTCTTCCTCGTTTAAGTGTTGTTTTTAAAAATGTCTTCCTTCTATAGTTCCATTTTCTTATGCCTTTTAAAATTTATTATGTTCTTTTTTTTTCCTGGTTGTTGCCTGTTACTATTTCTTTTTTATCATTTATTCTTTTCACCTTTCATTGTTGGTTGCTTGTTTTTAAATTGTTTTGTTTTCATGTGTGTGTGTACGGCAGGGTTTGGGGTGGTGGTTTCTCCCCTCTCCCACTCAACAGGAGACAGCAACCATGCCCACGAGGCCCAGCCACAGCTGTACCCTCTGCATCTCCACCTACTGGGCAAGAGCCAAAACCACCTCCTATACCATCTTAACAACAATGTTGTTGTTGTTAAGTGCCGTTGAGTCGATCCCGACCCATAGCAATCTTGTGTAGGGTTTCTGAAGAGCAGCTGGTGAGCTTGAACCGTCAACCTTGCAGTTCAAACGGCTTTGCAGTCTGGCGCATTAACCCACAGCACCATACCAGAACAACAATAGACAGCAGCAAACACCAGCCAAACCTGCACTAAACCGAGATGTAAGAATGGCTAACTGAGAACAGCACACACACTTCTATTCTCTGACTACACCACAGGAGGCAGTTGGCGAGGGCCTAAGAACACATTAACATACAAGCATTAACATACAAGCATCAATTAAAATACAAATAACAACACCACAATGTCCTGGAGATAAAAGAAAATTTTAGCTCACATGAAGAAACAAGAGAATGGCTCAAACAGTTAAGATGCAGAGCCAGAAAATATTCCTGAGGAAGAAAAGGTGATGGAACTAACTGAAAAAAGAATAAAAAAAAAAAGACTATTTAAGTACTTTCAAAAAATGGACAGAAATACTGAAGGAAGCTAGAACACAGAAAAAGAATGTTAGAAGAATTCAGGAAAACACTATCAGACAAAATAAGACCAAATAAAACAAATATAAAATTTGAAAAAATATGAAGCCTGCAATTAGAAATCCAGAAGATTAATACTAAGATTTCAGAAATGGACAATACATTGAAAGGGCATTGATTCTTCTATGGTCTGCTTATTCATTGTCCAATATTCACATGCATAGAAGACGGTTATTAAAATTAGTCATCCACAAAAGGACAAATATTATTTGAGACCACTGTTGTAAAAAGTTAAAAAAGGGTTTTCTTGATTTAAAAACAATATTCTATGATGGTTAAGGGGGCTGGGGAAAATTATTCACAGGCCAGAGGGTGATGGGGAAGGCAATATACAAAAGAGGGAGGGTTAGCAGAGGAAAGATGAAGGTAGTAGGAGACCCAGAGAGCAATGCAAGAGTTAATGTGAGTAAAGGCAAATACTGTTAACTGCTGGTACACAGAGGGGATCACAATCACTGTAATGAAGCAAAGTACATGATTTGTTGAATGTGAAACTGATGATCTGCTCTGTAAACCTTCACTCAACTCACAATGAAAAGTTTTTATGAAAATAAAGTACAAAGTTCAAATGTCACAAAGACCACATTCTCTCATCACAATTCAATTGAGTCATAAGTATATAACAAATCGACAAATCAAAACCACACTTCTATACAAATCATAAGTCAGAGAAAATAAGTCACAATAGGAATTAAAAAGTATTAAGAACTGAATAGCAGCAAAACTGTGATTTATAGATTCCAGCTAATTAAAGCATATATGAGAAAAACTGAAAATAAGGTAAGCATTCAACATATATAACTAGAAAAAGATCAGAATGTACCCAAAGAAAGAATTAATAAATCAGAATACAAATTTAGGTAGAATCGACACAACTAAGTTTGTCTTTGAAAACAAATGAAACAAAAACTTTGGGTAGAATTATCAAGAAAAAACAAGAGCAGATACACATCAGCAATATTAAGTGTGAAAAGAACACAAATACAGATGCAATACAGAAAAAAACAAAACAAAACACTATGCACAAAGACTTGTAAGCTTCAAGAAAAATAGATGCATCTCTAGAAGACAATTACCAATACTGATCCAAGAAGAAATGGAAACTTGAGTAGCCCTATAATCATTTGACAAATTGAAATAGTAAATACAAAACAAATAACCAGCCCAGAGTGCTCTATGGTTCAGTGTTACCATATAACCAAGAAATAAATCATTCCACTCTTACACAAATTCTCCAGAGAAAAGAAAAAAAGGGAACATGCCATAAAACACTGGATAAAGCAAACAGTCTTGACAGAAACACGTTGTTAAATACTGAAGAGTTGGTTTCAACTCATAGCAACCCTTTATGGGGTTTCTGAGGCTGTAAATCTTTGCAGGAGTACAAAATTTTATCTTTCTCCTGAGGAGTGGCTGGTGGGTTCGAACTGCCAACCTTGTAGTTTGCAGTTCAGTGCCTATCCTACAGAGCTGCTGCACTCCCTGACAGAAATATAAGGGTAGTATAAAAGAGGAAAATGAAAAGTTATCTCACTCATGAACACAGCAAAACCACAGTTGAACTAAGTTGATTCTGACTCACAGTGACCCTATAAAACCGAGAAGAACTACCAAAGAGGTTCGAAGGCTGTTAATCTTTATGGAAGTAGATGGTTACATTTTTCTCCTATGTAATGCCTGGTGGATTTGAACTGCCAATTTTGAGGGTAACAACTGAGTGCTTAACCACTGTGTCACCAGGTTCTACCACTCATAAATAAAGAAATAAAAACCTATTACAAATTATTAGCAAAATGAATCCAGCAATTGCACAAACTCACTTTTATCAGGACCAAGCCGGGTATATTCTAGGACTTAAACAACATTAAAAATCCTACTAATAAAATTTACTACATTAATTATTAAAGAAGAAAATCATCTGATTATATCAGTAGATGAAGGAAATATAAAATTTTACATAAATTTATGACAAAAACTCTTAGCAAATTATTAGCAAGCTTTCTAAATATGCAATCAACATACTGAAATTGATTGCATGAGGGAACTTAAAAAGTTCGTGGAAAAATGGAATTAACAGATGGCTGTCTGTGGGCAGGAGGCTGGCAGGCAGAATATGCCCTTTGGACATTTAAATGAATATATATTGTTTGATAGGTGTGCATCAAATATTTTTGCTTTGTTCATTTGTGAAATGTAAGATGTAAATGGGAGGAAGTAGGATAACTAGTTGCAGGGAGGGTTTGTAGTCATTGAAATGAAACAAAGTATATGATTTATTGAATGTAAAGCTGATGATCTCCTCTGTATACCTTCACTCAGTTCATAATAAAAAGTTAGATAATGTGTGACGATGTAATATCATATGCTAGAACTAATTAAGCAATATTGAAAGTACCTCAGATAGTTAAGGCTGACCTCTGTCTCAGTAGACTGAAAAATTAGAATTCTTCTGCTACATATATGAGGAGGCTTCAAAAACTTCATGGAAAAAATTCCATTTTTCTGTGAACTTTTTGAAACCCTGTTGTATATACCTTGTTGTTGTTAAGTGCCGTCAAGGTGGTTCCGACCCATAGCGACCCTGTACAGGGTTTCCGAGGGTGTAAATCTTTATAGGAGTAGAAAGCCTGATCTTTCTCCCGCGGAGCAGCTGGTAGTTTCAAACCACTGACCTTAAGGTTCACAGCCCGATTCGTATATACCTTACTTCAGAATAATTGGTACCCGCTTCAAGATACTATTCATGGAGCTGATTTCTTTTGCAAGAGTATAAATGCTTACCTGTGCTTGACCATCTTTTGATCATGGCAAAAATGGCTAAAGAATCTTGCATAGAACAGGTGCATGACAGCATGTTCTTTCCCTCCAATGTACAAATCCACAGGCATCCAGAAATCTGCCAGGGCTGTGCTAAAGGGGCTGGAAGAAACAGAAATGGTCATTTTTTAAAATAAAAAACCTCTTTTGCTGTAACTGTATAAATTAGGCAGGCCTATAAAATTGCATCTGCCCTGAAATAAATCATGTCAGGGAAGAACATAAACTATAATCAGAGAAAAGCTTATTTAATAAAGGAAACAACAAATAGATTTTCATTTATGAAATTTATAAGAACTGTCATAGAAGACATTCTGATATATTTTAACAACTGTAATTTTCATATTAAATGAGGGCAAGAGAGAAGTATGCCAGCAAAAAAATCAACAAGTATCTCAATATTTGAACAGCAAACCCACTGCTGTAGAAGATACCAACTCACGGTGATCCTGTAGGACAGAGTAGAACTGCCTGGGGTTTTTAAGGCTGTAAATCTTTACCGAAGTAAACTGCCACATCTTTCTCCCGTAGAGCATCTGGTGAGTTCAAACTGCCAACCTTTTTGTTAGCAGCCAAGCATTTTAACTACTGAGCCAGCAGGGCTTCGTGAATATCTAGACTAATTTTAATGTTGATTAGTAGAGACTTGAGGTTTGGAATTCCCACCAGTAGAGGGCAATGCGGCCTTTCCAATGGAGACTAACATGTAGGCATGAAATGTTCGTTTTAAAGCAAATATTTCTAAATTGTCCTTTAAACACAGGGTTGATATTTTGCACCATATACAAAAACGAACTCAAGATACATCAAAGATCTAAATGTAAAACCTAGAACTATAAAGATTACCAATGAAAAACTAGGGACAAACTTAGGGGTCATTATAAATGACATAAACACATATATACAATCAAACATAACTGAATATATACAAATAGCATATATACAAATATATACAAATATATACAATCAAACATAACTGAATATAGCAGATGATAAAATAGATGACTAGGACCTCCTAAAAATTAGACACTATGTCCATCAAAAGATTTCACCAAAGGAGTAAAAAGAGAACACAGAAACCAGGAAATATTTTTATGGTAATGACATTATCAGACAGAGGACTAATCTCTGAAATTTATAGAAAACTTCAACAGAAAAAAAAAAAAAATCCAATTTACAAAATGGACAGTGAACGTGAACGGACACTTCACCAAAGAAGACATTCAGGCAGTCAACAAACATATGGAAGAATGGATAAACAAACTCTGGTACATGCTATGCAATGGTAAATAATAATGATGAATCTGCTAAGCACCTCATACTGTGGATGAACCTGGGGGACATTATGCTGAGTGAAATATAATCAATCACAAAAGGACAAATATTCTATGAAAGAGACCACTATTGTAAAAAGTCAAGAAAAGGTTTTCATACTAAATGAAACATTCTTTGATGTTACCAAGGGTGGGGTATTCACTGGCTAGAGGGTAAGACATGTGTTAACTTGGATAATGGGGAGTTAGCAAAAAATGATTAAGGCAGGAGAAGACACAGAGAGGCATATCGACTCCCGCACCCCACTCACACTCAAACACATACTCAAACACAGAACAGATAGTTAGCAGCACCTGTGCATGGCTCGCTGACTGTGATGAAGTACATTAAGGTGAACTGTCATAAAACTGAGGGAGTGCAGTGGAATGGAATGCAAACCACAAGGATGGCAGTTCAAGCCTACTACTCACTCTGTGGGAGAAAGATGAGACTTTCTTTCTGGTCACGCACAGATTTACAGCTTCAGAAACCCTACACAGAGTCGCTATGAGTCGAAATCGACTGGCTGGAACCTAACAGCAATGGCAGTCATGAGAAGCCTGACAACTCTCCCTCTCCTCATATATATGTTCGAGCTAACTAAACCCCACTGCCAGTAAGTTGATTCCAACTCACAGTGACTCTGTTAGACAGAGTAGAACTGCTTCTTAAGTTTTTTGAGACCAGAGCAGCAGATGGATTTGAACTCGTGGCCCTGAAGTTAGCAGTCCAATGCTTATCTCACAACACCACCAGGGCTCCTTTATTAGGCAACAGAGTTCCTGAAAGCAAAGCTTCCTCACGCACGCCAGTCCTAATGGACATTGGGAAGGAGAGGAAACTCCACTTCTATTTTCTGGTTTGGATCCTGGTGGCTCTGCGAGTGTGTGTGTGTGTGTGTGTGCGTGTGTGGACAGCCCCTCTCCATTCCCAAGGTAACAAACACCCTCACTTGATGCTATCAATCACGTAGACACAACTTGGTCTTTGGAGGA